TGTCTTAAACGTTTCAATCCCGTATTAATAGGTGGCATTACACATAACACCTATATAGCAGCAAAGCTAATACAGCTTGTGATTAAAAATGTTTAAAAATAGCTAATAAATCAGATTATCTTGAGGTATTATTTCTTGCAAGTCAAAATGGAGAGCAAAAAATCAACCCTAATTTTTAGTTTATGTATACACTGAAAATAGCAACAACAATAAAAATAAGCTTTTTGTAGCAGACATATTCCATCTTCACTATTTTGCTACCTTTGGTAAATTACTGGGGCAGATCTTGAAGTTAAAAACCCATGTTTAGAAATAAGTGCACGCTTCACCCACTAAATATAGCAGCAGACTGTGTGCCCCTACGCAAAAACATTCTCATATCTAGTTTTAACTTTACATATAAAAATAACTTGGAGAAAATACAAAAAAACATTTTATTTTAACATGAAAATATCACAAAAATTAGTAAGCCTGAGATGTAGGGTTTTGGTGAAAAACAAGAGGCTTGTAGTGTTTTGGCTGCTGATAAAGATGCATGTATTGATAGCTGGGGTGAAAAGCAGAAGAATGCACTTATTTCTTCTGCATGTCAGTATCTTCAAACACAGTAAGCCACATGCACCCTTCTTTCCTTATGTAGATGCTGGTTCACCATGTTTAATTCCAGCGGAAGTGGATCTGACGTGGGCGGTCAGCCCCCTCCTTTACCAATGGCTTATGGAATTCACGTCCTGCACGAGAGTGGATATTTGCCCAACAAAACTCACAGTAATACTGCAGGCAAGTGACATTGGCACAAAAGAAAGGAGCAAACTTTCCACCGCATCGTGCACCCTGGCATTCGTCACACATCTGGTCATCCAACACATATGGCTTTACCTCCACCTGTTGGAGTAAACCAGAAACAATTCTAGTTAATACCTATTCCTACTTAAAGTTATATAAGGGCACTGAGTTTTTTCCGGATTAAAAAAAACCCCAAACCCTCAGTTCTGAACTCAGACATATTAACGCCTTTATCTCACTGATCAGTTATTACTCTTTATCATTTATCTGCTACAGATCTATCCATACAAGAAGCAGAACACTTCAAGGCAGATCTTTAGAAGTACACCATATACATAATAAAAAGCTACATCAGAACCTTCCCTTAATTTATTCTGGAAGGATGTCCTTGGCAAATGATAATATGGAAGTATGTGTAGAAAACAAGCGAACAAGCCCAAAGGTCTCCTAGCTAATCTCATCAGCCTCCGAATGTACCCCAACATGACATCCAATTCTATACTGTTTAGCAAAAATAATTGAACATATAAGAATGTAACCATTTATACATTAACCTGTTTTAAAAAATAGGTGTAAGTACTACTTCTGTGTGTAAATTAAAATTACCTTCTGCAGGCTGGAATACAGATCTTTTAGCACGCCTGTTCCGTTAAATTCACTCCTTATTTCTAAAATATGGTCAAATCTGGAGCTACAGATTTTGGTCATCTATTGCTTTCCCTTTTTGTGGCTTTGAGCTGTACAGAAATTTGTATTCAAAGTATTTCTGAAAATATTTTTAAAGGACCATTTTGCAATTGCATTTTTTGCAGTATACAGACTGCTAGAAACACCTGTCTTACACGGCTTCTTTCTCCCAAACTCATCTGACTGCCAGAGTGGAAAAGTGGCAGGAGTCCAGTGGTAAATTTGCATTATGTCTTTGCGTAACTGAAATGTTACAGACTGCGATCAGACAGGAAGAAGACCTTCATAATAAAACACAAAATGAGTTGACTCCATCATTAAGGAATGTATTGTTGTCTTGCACATTTTCCTCACTTTTAAAGACGGTATTTTCTGCCTTTTGTTAGCAAAAAGAATTATTCCAGTTCATACTAAGACTCACTGCTGTAAGGTATTTTTTCCTGAGATACTATTACCTGAGAAGAATGCTACATATAGACATCAACTTTACGTACTATACTCAGACAGACTATGTTTGAAATAACAAGAATGTTAAAATGTTGTTTTTTCCATTGTGTCTCCAGAGGAAAAAATTTTACACATACAGCTACCCACCCAAAAGTTTTACAGCAGAACAGTCTTCATGTTCTTAGCTTCAGAAGTAGAGGTCATACTTGACATGTCAAACGCGTCTATGTTTGAAATAGAGTGTGCTTCTTCCAATGATCTATATTCAGTACAGGCTCTACTTCTTATTTCACTACAATGACCTGCCTTATCACAAATTACACTCAAACATTCCAATAAAGAGGTGGCTTATGCAGTAACTGTGTTCATGGTTCAAAATTACTGAAAGCATGAACCAGCATATATTTCAAGCTTTGGTGCATTAATGCACCAAGATCGGTATGAGGATGATTTCAAGTGTATTAGAGAAACACTTTGGGGAATGGAAGTATTACATGAAGTGGATGCAGACTGCTGGCATATGAAAGTTAACAACATTTTAAGGAATTGTTTGGAGCTGAAACTCCAAATGAGTTTCAAGGAAATGTTTGGAGCTGAGCTTTCATATAAGATAAAACAGGATGAGGAGCACTTTATTGAAGAAAAACATCTGTTAGAGAAACTAAACATATCTACACATCAAAAGAACTGGAGAGAAGCTGCAGAGTACATAGGTAAGGAAGAAGTTAAGATCACAGACACTGTTTGTTAAGCAACTGTGACACTACGATTTCCAATTAAGGTAGGAAAAGGTATGTGCAAAAAAATTGCTATAAATACTTTGAACTAAAGTTCAGAAGGATAAACAGGTGAATTGCAAAATTTAGCAATGAAAAAAGACTTTTAGACAGACAAAACTGGTTATGAAAAGAATGTGAAAGGACAGCAGACCTACAGAAACTGGATATAACTGGTATAGAAGGGCTATACTAAGGTAAAGGGTAAGAGAACAGCCTGTCTCTAAGATACCAGTGAAATATGTAATATATTGCTTTATTAGCCAGCATACATACACATCTTAGATGAAGGCAGCACCCGAAGTAGGACTATCTTCCTCATTTACAAAAACAGTAGTTTACAGATTTACACAAATTGCCTGCTCATCTATAAAACAGCAGTAATAATGATTTCAGAATATTTTCAGAGCCTGAAAGGGCATTAGTGTATAAACTCCATGGAGCAAAAACTATTTCTGAAAATAGCTTTTTTCATACTTTTGGAAGAGTTAAGGTGTTCCCTAAAAAGAGACTGTTCTCTATTACTCCCCAGTAACGCAAATAACTGGGTTGTATAAATATATATATAATTACATAAATAATAAGGACTGACCATATGATTTAGAGATGATGATTTGAAAAATAAACATTATAACTCCTCTGAAATAGCCAAGGAAGTTCATAAACCCTCCCCATCACAAGGTTTAAAGAAAAATTTATTAAAATACTTCGGATTTGGCATTGCTGTACTTTGCAAGTGAAACACCCCAGGAGTAGCACACATTTTTTAAAAAAAGAAAAAACAAAGATGCTAATAAAAATGCCAAAATTCCAGATTTAAGAGAATACTTAAATAAAAAAATTAATTTTCAATAATTAGAAAACCTATCTACACATACTAATTATACCTGTTTGGTTTTTTTTTGGTAGTAGTAGTGATTGAAGAAATCATTTGAGTACTGTTTTTATAAATTAAGTCTCATGGATATAACGCAAATGCTGTGCTTCTGAAATCTAGTATTTGGGGTAGATATTGTGCGTTTTTTTCCCTGTCCAAGCTCCAAGAGCCCTGCAGCACATGCCCACTGTTTTACTGGAGATGCACTGCCCACCCCCCTTTAAGTATTTCAGTGTTATATCACATATTAACACGTTATATCCCTTTCTTTGTGAACAGCAAGCACTGCCATTTCAGATGCCTGCTCGGCATCCAAAGAGCCCTTAAAACCTCTGGTGACCTATCATAAAAAAACCCAAACCAACAAACCAAGCTACTTGGAAGTGCAGCCTTCAAAGGCGGGTTCATGCCTTCCTTTCTCTTATGAGATGGCACTGCCAGTCTACCATATACTCATCTACTGCAAAGGACACTCCCATGAGAAGAGGAAGACCAAGACAGAAGTGTCCCCTAGTTTACAGGGTTCAAGCCCATTCCTCCCACCTTTGAGGGAGAATTAGTTTGGATGGGACCCAGTCGTCCACCCCTAATTTTAAAGTTAGGTCACTTCACAGCCAAATGCACTATAGACGGTTCCTGAAAACACACTAAGCTATACCTGATCCTGAAGCTAAATGACCCATTTAGCATTGCTTTAGGAGTTCTGGATTCTGGTCCTTACTCCCATTTTGTTCAAATACTCACATGCAAGATAATTACTAGTTTTATTTCCCTTCACACAGTCACAGTGTTGAGGCCATTTTTCCTGTTACGTAATTAGCCAAAAGGTAGAGCTATTAGTCAAAGTCAACTGCAAGTCACAAGGACAGCAATCCCACCAGCAAAATGTAGCTGTCACATCGTAACGTGAAGCCTAGTTCACTACCCACATTCAGACCCACTCATCTTCTAGAAAGGAACATGTTTGGGGATTTCATCTCACTAGGCAACTGGTATCTGAGAGACAGGTGTAAAGCTTTATTACTCCGTCTATTTGAAAGGAGAGAAGCACATGCTAACTCCCTACAGCAGACTTCTGTTAACTGTACTACTTTCTTTTTCCCATGTCTTTAATCTGTAGGGGAGACTGGACCTTGAACTACTTTACTTACTCAACCCTTCTTTCTCTAAGACCTTTTTTTATTTTTTTTAAAAGAACACCTATTAATACCAATGACTACCTCTGCAGCTCTTGACATCAAAACTGGTGACACTTAAAACTGACATAATTTAGATGCCAATTTTCTTTGCTACTCTTATACTTCTAATTAGGAGCAATGAAGTTAACTAGTCTTCTGAATAAAAGTTAGTTTTGCTTTAGCTAGCAATAAGCACCTGTAGCAACCTGAAATGTACATTGGTAAACACTAAGAAGACTCTCTCAAACAGAACAGATAAGACATTTTGTATTTTAGGTGTTGAGCTTGATTGATTCTCTGAAGTGCTGAGCACTGACAATTATGGCTGAAATTAAGGGCAGTTGCAAATATAAAGCTAATGTGAAACCAACGAATACTAGAGTTTCCTATAAATGACAAAGGAGTTATCACAGTATTTGGTTTCATCAGGACAAGGGAGAGAAAAAGATTTTCAAGCCCTTTGCCCATACACAACAAAACAAAGAACTCAAGAATGGGAAGAACATATGGTCTGACATATGTCCAAGGAACAAACTGCTGCTCTCTGGAATGCATGTTGGTTGGTTGGGGGCATTCACGGTTTAACTCTTGGAACTAGTGGACTTACAGCAATACTGAAAGAAATCTAGAAGCTAGCATGAAAGCCAATCACATACAATGTTACCACACCCTGAAAAGTTCCTTTATACATCATCACTCTCATACTTATTTATGTTTTAATTTCTGTATAACTTACTCGTTTATCAATATCGCCATGCTGAAGTTGAACAAACCGAGCACTGATGGCAGCAATATAACTCTGCTGATTGGAAAAAGCAACACGTCCAGCACCTTTTGGGTATTTCAGCTCAGGGTCAGTATCAATTCCTGCGTAACAAACTCCACCATAGAGACGGTCCATGATCATAGCCAATTCCACTATTAAGAAACAAAATAATGTTCATTTAAACTGTTCTTACAGTACGAATTTTATATAATACGCTTGTATTCAAAAATACTAGAAAAGTTAATTTTAGTGATTGATTTTGTAACAGCTGATGTAACAGTAATAACAAGAAATATAAAAACATATTAAATAAGCTATGACATACTCCGCAGATAGATCTTTCACACTGTGGGTACATACATCCAAGGAACAATGGAATTATAAGTCCTTACACTCCTTGAAAACCTGGAACTGAAATTCCAGGGCAGTTTTCTTCAAGGGATTACAGCAAAAGACTTTTTGGGCAGGCATGGAATGTAAGCTGTATAAAATAGATCCACATGCCACAAATTCCTTGGTACATGTTCTCTGGCTGTCCTAATGCTCTATGTCCTACTTGAATTTAAAGACGTAGTTAGCATCTTTTCATCAGCCGCACAGAGCTTGATTATCTCTACAGTGCTACACTTACCATAGATACTGAAGTTCATCGAAACAAAAATCTCCAATTTTACAGATCAAGGATCTTAGCAATCCTCTAGTAATAATATACTGAATTCAGTTCTGCAATTCATTTAGGTGGAAAATACTAATGTTTTCAGAATTAGTATCCTCTGTATTAGGGTATAAAGGTGTCAGAAGTCACTGATGTTCAACAGTTATTTGAAAAGTTTGAAAATAAAGTTTGAAAAGAAAGTGTTTGCCATAAAAGTTTCCTTTTCACATATACAGGGCATTTGAAAGCCAAGCATAAGAATGCATCCATTAAATTTATCACATTCAGCACAGTAAGCTGGAGTATTTGGACTGAACTTAAAGAAAAATTGATCTGCAGTTGGAACATACTGTGTTTATGCTAATTTACAGAGCTTGCTCTACAGTCAAAAGTACAGTCTTAAAAGTAAAATAACAGAAAAGCTTGAGCATTGCAGGTCCAAGACAGGAAATTTTAAGAGTCTTTATACCCCAAATTTGCACTATCACTTCTTGGTTCTCCTACATGTTCCATCTGAAAGCTCATCTTTCTGTAAGAATAAAATTCATTACAAACTATGTAAGACTAATGAAGTCCAGGAGTCATTCTAGTAGGAAATGGGATTTGAACCACTGTATGTTATGCTTCTACTTCCAGCATTCACTTCAACCTACTTACTAAGGCCACCATAAAATATTGTTAAAAGGCTACTGCAGTCAATCTCACAACGCAGGCTGTCCAGGTTGTAGATCAACCATTCCACAACTACAGAAACATTTAATTTTTCCTTTCCAACAAGAGTCTAGAAAGCGTCCTGCAATCTCATATAGTGTTGTGCCACACAGACTGTGCTAACTCTCCGAATTTCTTCCTTTTTCCTCTATTCCTACTCCTTCAAGTACTTCATCACCTGTGTTTTTGCTTTGTCCATATTAGCCAAAGTAACTGCAAACACAATGACAAGCAAGTACAAGTAGAGCTCCACATACTCCTGTAGCATGGTAGAGAGGTTTTCATACCATTATTTTAAAAACACTTTCGTGACATAGTTTACACTACTGTTTTGCTAATATGATCAAAATCTTTTCTACAGCTTTAGACATGTAACAGTTTCCAGTAAATCTCAATGATGAACAGTGATTTATGGCCAAAACCAGATGAAAACAGTTACTAGAGAAATGTAAGAATACACAAATATTGTACTGTGGTTATAAGTATCATGACAGTCTTCTATTTTTGTATGTATATATCTACATCTATCCATACATAACTGTACAAAAGTATGCATGGTTCAAATTATTTCCAATAATTTTCAATTCAAATTTCCAATAATCTCCTACTTTTAAAAATAGCCACAGATTATACTCACCAGCTCTTAATGGTCTAGGGACTCCTCCAACAAAAATTGTTTTTCGAGGATCAAGTGGCTGGGAACCATCCATCACAAAGTCACTATCACTTAGATTCCAGGGACGGATCTGAACCTGTTAAGTTCAGAAAGAAAATAGTATGCTACTTTAAGTTTCACTATATTGTAGCTATATGTTCCTCAGACTATATAAACTGTCAGAGTCATAACCCCATTAGCTTAGCATGTCTAGGTGCTCTGTTTTAATCCTATTAATTCAGAACACTAAAATTTTAAAATCATCCAACAGTTCCAGATGTTGAGCTCTGCCAACGGTAGTTTGCTTCTGATTATTTTCATCGTCATCATTTCAAATGCAGCTTTAGACAGATGGCAGCTATAGCCTGCAGGCCAGCTACAGTTGACTTACTGGCTTGTCCTTGATAGTAGGACTTGAAACACATAGATAGAGCTTTCCATCTTCTTCAATGCAGGCGTCAATCAGGGCCTGAACAGAACTCTCTTCTTGGAACAGGAGGAATGCATAACCTGGAAAAAAAGCCAAACCAACTGATATTTTTTCTCTTAACTTCATTTTTCTTAATCATCTTTGCCAGTGACTTTTCCATACAAATATGTTTACTCCAAAAGTAAAAGAAAGTCAAACCAATTCTTTGTTATTAGTCATCTTCTTTAACTATGTACTACCTTGCCATGATCAACAGAACTTCTATCCTTAAAGGAATTGTCAAAAGAGACTAATAACCAGATAAAAGCAAACATGTCTGCTCTATAATGTACTGGAAGCCTAGGCTGAGCATAATTCATTGGCAGTAATGGACATTATACAATGAAAATCCGACTTGGCACAAAGGACTAATCTCTATTCTAGAGATTAGATCAAAGCACTTTGTTACATAAGTGACCCAGCAAACCTCCCAAACACTACAAAAATAGGAATTAAAATGCTTGTTTAATGCTACAGTAAAAACAAACAGTCAGACAAGCAAAGAACCTCACACGTTAGAATACTTTAACGGTTACAGTATAATGATATATACAAAATTTGTTACTTTACAGGTGCCCGATGGCGTGATTTGGGTTGTATTCTAAAACAAACTTTAAAAGGACCATAAATCCACATTTCTTTCTGAGATTACTACCAAGCATGGAATTTTCACACAAAGTTATGTTCTGTTACTTGGATGGAAAGTAAATGCTGAAGCAGCTGCTCTAGAGAGGGCTTGGCAAGAGGGAGCATGGTTGCTTTACCAAGCCTTTTGGAAAAGGCTGTATTTCCCAGAGAAACTAGTTAACCAATGGCAATTTCTTGTTGCTAACAGACACTGTAGGTCATCAAGGCAAAGATGGTAGGGTGCATCCTGAAGAGCATTAAAGAATCAATGTGTTAAGAACAACATAAGATTAGAGAAACAAATGCACGACTGATTTTAGATATATGGGAACAAAAGTAGGATTCCAAGAGAAAGCTGTAAGGTCTGTACTGTTCCTTCTAGTAACTCGTACCTCATTTCTTACCCCTCATACCATGGTCCTATCACAGCTACCTACAAGGGACACATGACTAGGTTTTATGTATTCTGTATTTTGATGTAAATCTTACGTAGTTTCTTAACAAACATGCTGTAGGGAATCTTTGGGCTTGCGCTGAAGCATTTTCTTGTGAAGTCCATTTTTCATTGCTGAACAGTATTTTTTAGTGACAACCTGTTTAACTTAAGCTTAATTAGTAATTACATAGATTCAAAATCCGGTTTAATGGGGATACCTTTCAGTATTTATCTTAGAATTTAAAACCCACATATTACCCATGCAAAACTCACTCACTGAATGAGGGCATGTGCAGACTGGCATGGGTAAGTGAGACCAGACCCGTGCAACTGTCCTTACTTGTGCGGAAGCCAAACAGGCTCTCTGTTTGAACGGAGAGCTCAGTACAAGCATGATGGGAGTGCAAAAACTTGATTAATCAAAGGGAGGGATAAATGCACACGATACCAACTAAGGGATCAGACACACAAAGACTCACAGCCAGAAGTAAGTAGAATATTTGGCCAGATGCTGATTTTCCATCAGTTCTTATCCTAAAGCAAATCAAGGGTACTTCCATATAACAGTATTTTTCACCTCAACATCCTTAACTCATGAACTACTGTGGACGTTTAATGTCTGCAAAGCTAGTATGGTGGTGGTAAGTCACGTGCATAAGTATGATGAAAAAGATCAAGTGCCTAACTAGTCTTTTTGGAGTAGTACTGAACTACAATTACCATGTGTGATAGAAAGCACACGTCACGGTGAAACATGGTGGGGAGGTAGGGTGAAGAGTACAATGTGTTTTACTGTACTACAAAACAGCTTAACTCCCTGGTTTCTTGGTTTTTTTGCTGTACCACATCAGTCATTTAACTTTAACAGCTTCATACCCAATAGCAAAGCAAGTTTGTTTTACAATGGAAAAGCAAAGCTACTCTAATAGTTTTCTTTGAAGGAAGCTGCTTCATCCCTTTGCGTCATATGTACACCAACAGTAGCAGGTCATGATCAGGTATTACTTGCCAAGAGACAAAGCTTGTATGTTTTGTACATATTTCACAAGGTGAAAAGTATTAGATTAAACACAGTCTTATAAAAATTTCTTGTTCATGTGCACTTCCACCAGAATTTATGCCTCCTGTGGGAGACAAGGTTTAGGTAAGCCCTGTTAGTGTTTATCACTTGACTAAATTCCTCTGCATAACACTGGAACTATTACTAATACTCCTATTTTCAAAGGCAACCAGTGTGGGTGACTGATAATACTTGTCCTCAGAAAATTACCTCAAATAATAAACAAATCTTTCTGGAGATGATAATTGGCCTTAGAATTACATTCCCTGATATCTAAAGATACTGCACTGGTTATAGTCACCCTCACTCTGGGCTGAGATCTCTCTTAATGAAACAAGACCAAGAAATTAATTTTTTCCTTCTTTTCTTTTTAATGTATTGGGTCAGCACTGGAAACAGAAAGCCCATCAGATAAGTCTGAAGAATCCTAGCTGTATTACCAAATTAAACCTTTTCAATTTTTTTATTTATTCCATAAAGAACAAATCAAAAGCAAAACGTTCTAGACTAGATTCACACTGGTAGCTAACATGATTTTCTGAGCAAGGTATAATTTCTTTATCTCATAGTAATATGGAAGTTTACCAGAAGGAGAAAGAACGCTTCGTCTGCTATGCATACTCTGTGTAGAAAGCAGAGAGCAGCTTTAAGTTCTATCAAACTCCAGTTAACTCCTATCGCTAGTGGCTTAGAGAAGGAGTCAAGAAAATCAGTGCAAGCCAGCATGGCACTGTCCATGCCAGCCAGTACAACTGTGTTTTGTTTTGGTGTTGGTTCCTCTACTGTCCTGACAAACTCTTCCCAGAGAAGACTAAATGGCCTCGGTGCAGTGCAATTCTTGCCCACAGAATGCTGCGCCTTAGCTTAAATCAGAAAGAATCGGTGTAAACTGCAGGTTAGTACAGACAATGGATCTACATTTGATGATGGGAATAATTTACATTTGGGAAGGACACACAACATTTAATCTATTCCTCTTTAAAGCGATCTCACCACCATATTAATTAAATTTAATCTTTAGAACATAAATCTTTTACTTGTTCAGTATAGTCATCTTTGATGGAGAATTAACTCCAAAATGCACTCGAAGCGAAAAAATGCAGGCTGATACAATCGTAATGTAGCTATTAGCTGAGGCACTTGTGAGTAGGGGGGAGCAGGATTCACTTTGAGATCCAAACACCCATTTCTGTATTTCTGCGGTGACTGTGTTTAAGCTCCTACCATAGTACAGAGATCCAGTTAATGCAATCAGTGGTGACTGGAGAGTTACTCAGCTGCCCAAGTGGGACACAGAGGTGTCTAGCACGATTTGTGCTCCACAGGACTTTGCCTAACCTTCAGCTGGCGCTCCAGAATAGCGTGGGGCTTCAATAGGTGCCACGGCACATTTGTGAGACCTGTGTAAATCTTTTAGATATCCTTGGTTTGGGTAAATGGATCAAGCTCAATGTGCTTATGTTACGGTGACCTGAGTAGCCGTCTATACTCCACTGACTGTACTGGCCAGATTCCCATTGAAGCTTAGACACTAGTCACACATGAAGACATCTACAGTTACCTTCCTGAATCCAGAGTTCAATCTTACCCAGTGTGATCAAATAAGCTGGTAACAAGTTAAACAGAACTTGGATGGACCTGGGTTTTTGCTTCTTAAACTAGAAACTGAACACTTTCAACCTAATTTTTTCAGTCAGTTCTAAATTAGCAGTTAATAACCTTGAGTAAACAAAGCTACTGCACAGCTGCTGTGATAGAAGGCAACAGAAACACCCAGACGATTAGAAAAGGCTGGGGATACTGTCCTGTTTAAATCAGATTATTCTCTGTTTGATACAGACTATAAATAGTACAGAGCACACAAACAACTGGGCACATTTTGAAAGGCCTTCTTTGGATTTGCATATCCTCACGGCACCATTTCTTTGAGAGCTTCATTATCATAAGAAGGAGTCCTCATTTCAGCAAGTTCCTTTGGACATGTGTATTGTTTCATAAATAAGTGTATTTGCCAACTACGTAATAACAGGAGTTATGATAAACAGTGGCAAGTCAGAAAGGAAGGAATTCTCCATTACAGTTGGCAGATCACTTACAGACTTTGTACTTTGATCTCAACAGAATAATTTTTTTCTGCTTCAGAACCGTTTCCTTCTAAGATTAGTGTGAAGTTTTTAAAATTCCTGTTTTCTTTGGGCCTAATTTTGTGGTGAACCAATACAAAATGCAGTTAGTTAAGAATAAGCGGTTGCTGTTTCTCAGGAGGCAGCCAGCCTTGATGGATCAGGACACTTTTTACATTTCTTCAAGCAAGGAAATACTTATGAGCTTGGCCTTCCCTCAGGACTTTCTGTAAGCAGAGAGCCTGGA